GGTGGGGTAAGGGAGCATACCCTATTGTGTTCAGTGTGCGCATGCTGAACACACAAGAGGGACAATATTAATGAAAGATAAAATTCACGTTGAGGTAAAAGTACAATAAACAATAGGGACAAAAAGTAATAGCAAGATAATTGACAAATTGTAAATATATTTTTCAAAACAAACAAAAATAAGAAAAAAAGTGGATGGGTGAGTTGAGCACTTACCAAATATTCTCAAGTGGTCTAATCTGTCATTGAAGTAGGAAGGGTGATTTCCAATATCTGGGGATGACTAACACTAATCTAAGAGATTTACTATCAGTGTCGAACAAGGTGACACATGATGAAACAATGTGGCTGAACTAGAGATGAGGGCTGGAGAGAAATGAAAAGGGAGATCAAACTACAATTTCACCAAAGACAGCTCTACTGTAGCTGTTTTGCAGGAAAATCCACAATGAGTGCAGTACTAGGTCACTCCTGGTACCATAGCCACTACAGTATGCTATCGTGGTTATGGTGCTTGGAGTATTCTGAAATAATAACAAGTAGACGAGATGGGAAGCAACAATTGCTTTAAAAACGAAAAGTAATAAGGATTCTTGGTTAGCCAGCTTCTCACGTATTTTAGGCTAAAATGTGTAAGTTATGTCTATACATTAATTGCAGCTTCACCAACTGAGCCGTTTGATATAAATTCACAATTTGTATTTCAGCATGCTACAAATTATAGATTAGAAAATTAACCTATTCTGCTATCTTTGTGTTTCTTTGTACCATTGTGTGGATATGAACTTTGGACTGGTTTTATAGACTCATTTTATTATTATCATCATTTATTTACAATGTTTACATGGTATCCTATCCAGCACAAGATACACCAAGCAAAGGGTTTAATAAAGTTTGACAGAGAGAAACAAAGTGAAATAGTGGGTTTTTAGTGCAAGTTTATAATCTAAAAGAGAAAGGGACAGGTAAAATATACAATGTACTGTGTGAGACTTGTGGCTTTAGATACTTAGGCTAGATTGTGAAAAATGATATGACTATGAGGGAATTAGTAAGGATGATTTTTGAGAAAGAATATGAAGGGGGATATAATTTGAAATCACATGAAATTGAGTGCTGGAGAGGGAATCTAAAAAAAGAGATCACCGATGAGTGCATGTGATGAGTATGGCCTTCTTTTTGAATAATGTGTCTTTCTCAAATCTTTTACACCTTGCTACAATATGGTATATAATGGTGCATGAGGTTATTTTCTAAATGTATGATTATTCTTGCATTTCTACCAGAGTTAATGATTTAAAAAATGTAAAAAATATTTCTAACTGTACTAAAAAAGGGAATTTATTAAATACTCTGCAAATCATTTCCAGGCATTTCTGAATTCACAGAGCCCCAAATAATGCCTTCCAAGACAAATGAAAGCCTTGAGATTAGTCTGTGTGGAAATACTGCCCATTGAGAATACACTATGTATTTTGGATAAGTAAATTATGGAGTTTGCTTTTCCTTGCAACAGGGCTTACAATTTCCACTTGCAACTAGCCACTTGTGTGTGAAAATGTAGTCTTGACATAGTCCCTCTAGGGCTGTATAGACTAGTAACATTTTTTTTAATTTGAAGATTTTTATAGTTTCTCCAAGTAAAGAGGGTCGGGGTACAGGAAAAAAGAAGAGGAGGTGGGGGAGGGAGGGGAGGGAGGGGTGTGTGGACAGTGGTAACTTTGACAACATATCATGCATAATACTAACTAGACAGTAGTAAAGACTATCCATTCGACTGTTCGAGACTTGCCATAGCTTATTTGGCGTCCTATCGTGCACCTCGTCACATTGCAACAACCAGTCCCTGCAATCCGGTGCTGCCATTTCACAATCATTTACAGTTGGTTTGGGTTACCCAATCTCCATGCGTCCCAGATAC